AGTTTAGTTTATTATATATATATATATATATATATATATATATACATACACATATATAGAACACTAATTTCCGTGTAGTAAAACTCTTACATGACAGAAAGATTACTCTGTTACTTATTAAATAAATAATAAAAAATGATTTAAAAGTTAAAAAAAGAAATTAAGAAAAAGACATCGAGTGTGACAATATTTAGAATTCACATAGAATACGTACATATATATATTTCACAGAGATTTATGTAAACTGAAATACATTAAAAATTAACAATTTATTTTATTCTAAATTACCAACTAATTTTAATCGCTTTTTAATTGTTTACTGATTCATTCTGCTGGTTCTATAAATATTTTTAGGATCAAGTAAGGAAAAGCCTATACTCACAAAATGATATTGCATTTATTTACAGAAATGACAGCTTTATCCCGTACATACTTATATTGGAACTTTGCAATTAATACAACGAGGAATATCAGTAAATGATAAAATATTACACGATATAATATTACAAGAAATAAAAAATAATTAATAAATTTTCAGTTAATTATAAATACTATTCTCTTCTCTAATGTTGACTTGGTCAAAGTATCTCTTGGTCCTTGGAAAAACTTGTTTTTTCTTTAATCAAGAATAAGTTATTGATTAGTATGAAGAATATGAAGAAAAGTGTTACAATCAAAAAAAAAATAACGAGGAATTTGAATTTAGCTTTCGCAAACTAAGATTAATTTAGCATTTCTGTTATTTCTTTATTTCATATAACAATTTTAAATGCAAATTGTCAATTAATATGTATGTAATTAATTTACAATCCTTTATAACTAATTTATAAATGGTCACCTCTTTTGTATTTAGAATTATGCGAGATTATGCATACTATTATATTACTGCAGATATATTATTATCAGGTAATTATATTTGATGCTATTGTATACATTAATTGCGCAATTTTTTTAGGAAACAAGTGTATATAACTTTTCCTTTTGTATTTCGAGCGGAATGTATATTTTAATAAAATATACAAAGCATAAAATCTATCAATGTTTAAATATTTGTTAACCTTTTATGTGTTAATTTTTTTAAATATTATTTCTATTACTCAGCAGCAATGAGAGAAAAACTAGCTATGTTTACTTCATATTTTATATTATGAATATGAAATAATCTTTTATAAATATTGATGTTTGTTGTCACAATTGTCACTTTATAGCAAATTGTCGAAACGGGAAGATCGTTATTCTGTGAATATATATACATTGTCATCCATTTATAACGGTAAGTACTATTAGTAAATTGCTTTAAATTTTTCAGATATCTATTTTTTATTACAATCTTACAGTATAAAATTAATTATTTGAAAGAAGATTCACATATTAAGTTTTGAATAGAAGTTTTAAAAAATCGAGTTTTTACAATACAATTCAATTTCGTATTCTTGTTTTCTATGATACATGTGTCCAAATAGCAACAATCTGTTTAGATGGATCTCATGGAATTCATAAATTTGTTATTATATAGCAATATAATAATTATTTATGCTCTTCCTCTCGATGGAAATGCAAACTCTAAATTCTACATGGAAAATGCTGAATATGTAGCCGATTTTCATTTATATACAATACTACCGTTAAGATATACTATTGAATTAGAATTAGACACCGAAAAAGATATTTTCCATGGAATATGTATTATCGACATTAATATATTCAACATTACACAAGACATATTTTTGCGTTCAATGAATTTGAACATAAGTCAGGTCTCATTAACCAAAACTATTATTGATAATATAATAAGATATGATGCACCTACTATTTCCTATATTAAAGAAATGCAACTTGTTATTTTTAAGTTTACTTCTTTTCTAATACCTGATACATATACTTTGAATATAACATTTAACGGTATCATTTCTAATGACATTGGAGGATTTGTCAAGATTTCATATATAAATGAAGTAGGAGATAAAAAGTGAGTATAAAAATACTTATTTAAGTTAATTTAGTTATAATTAAAAACAGTCTATTAACTATATCCATTAGCAAAATTAACATTAATTCACGTTATGTAATATTAGCAAAATTAACATTAATTCACGTTATGTAATATACGTAATAAAAATTTCCAAAACATATAAAGAGCATAACAGTAACTATAATATTTAAGAAGATTTGGCAATAATTAATAGTTTTAAAATATACATTTAGATCACATAAATATTCTGCAAAAAGTTTGGAGAAAACAAGAAACATATAAAATAAAATTTCCCTTTCCTCAAAGACGAACTGTTAAACTAATTTATTATATGTAGACATTATAGCATTGAAATCCTTTAGTATATCAATATTTCAACTTTATATTATTCACAGTTTATAGCTGTTACAAGTAAATTAATAGTATCAAATTGTAAATACTATACTAAAAAAATACTAAAAAAAAAATCATAAAAAAGGAAAGGCATATTTCGTAATTAATTTAACAACCGGAAAAAAACGCTTCCATTAACAAACATTTATAATTTCTTCAATTTTTATTTTTTTTTCCAATGTCTATACAAATTAAAAATTTATTCTTATATAATGTAACAACAACAACACCAACAAAATTATTAAAAATATGTAGGTGGTTTATCGCATCAGATAACTCGGCGATAGGAATGCGACGTGTATTTCCATGCTGGGATGAGCCAGGAATAAAAACTAATTTTAGCATTTATATAAAGCATCATAAAAATTATACTGCTTTATCAAATACACTTTCTGTTCCTAAAGTCCATTCGACAGACGTTAAGGATGTAGTAGTGACACACTTTAACATTTCTAAAATACCAAGTTATCGCATGGCAATTTTGTTATTTGATCGGAATGACTATATTTTCATGAATTCCATGAAAATCGTTCAGAGATTATGGTGCAGAAAGCTGACGATACAAGATCAAATTTTTGCATTTAATTATATTGCAAATGTTACACATACTGTTGAAGCCGATTGGCAATTACAAGAAGGATATTTATTAGCAAATCACTTTACGATCGCAGGTTTGAAAACCGATGGCATGGATAAATTGAACTTTGTATTTTATAGGTATATATGTTCTTAAAGAAAAATATATACAAATAAATTTCTACATCTTTATAACAAAACAGACAATTACAGAATAGATAAAGTTGCTAAATGTAGTAGATAATGATATTGGTAGAAGATAGCAGATGCACATATAAATACTTTTGATTTGAATTAAATATAACGATAAAATTTATAATCGGTTTTTAGAGAAGAAGATATTATCTACAGTGATATAATAGATCCCATTGCGCGCAAAATTGAGATATCACATTTAATAGGACGTAAAGTGATTAGTAAATTATTTGATATTAGAGTTACTCCATCATGGTGGTCCTACATGTGGTTGAACGAAGGTATTTCCACATTGTTTGGGATATATACGATTAATAAGGTAATTCCTAACGTCGGTAGTAATACTTATCAAATACTTTAAAAACAAAACACATACTTATACTTATATTGAAATAATAAAATAAATAGATATACTCTTTAGATATACTCTTATAATATTTTTCTCAGAATAATAAGACAATTTCGTTGCATATGTATTATATTAAAATTTATTTATAACATTTTCAACTATTTTTATTGTTTTCCTAATGCGAATTTGTTTGATAATGATATCACTTAGTTAAATAATATAATTAAAATATCTCAATGTCTAGATTATGCCAAGTTTTCGTTCATTGGATTTATTTGTGGTACGAACTCAACACGAATCTCTCCATTTGGACGATGGACAAATTATGAATCCTCTTACATCACAGATTAACAGTATTTCTGAAATTGATTCTCTCTTCTCTTTTGTCTATTATATAAAAGGTACATAATGTTAAATAAGCAACATTAATATAATTGCAAAATTATTTAGATACTGTTTAGAAAGTAACTTTTTATTTTATTTTCTTCATTTTTTAAATTTAATTTACATAAGTAAAACGATACTTAGATAGAATTAAAATCTATGAGACTTTTAAAAAGTTATTATCCTAAAAGTGCAAGATATTTAATTGATAAATTTATTATTGGTAAATTTATTTATATCTTATTTAGTTTATTTATATATACATTTTATTTTTAATGTTCTTTTTTGTTATAGCACCTTGTATATTGCGTATGCTGCAGTATGTATTAAAAGAAGAAATTTTTCTAGAAGGTATAAAAGTATACATGAAAAAACAGTAAGTATATATCATATTTGTCTGTCTCTTTTGCTTCCTTTTTTTCCATCAAAAGAAATAATTATCGTTTTTTTGATAGCTTTTGATGAAATCTCAACTCTATAATAATTTGTCATATTTTACTGCTTTTTCGATATATTCTATGTGATTTATAACATATAGGAAGTCTGATAATTTTTCAGTGCTTGTGTGTAAATGGATCGAGTTATAAAAATTCTCTATAAATATTTTTTACTATAAATATTATAAGTGACATTTGTTAAATCTTCAAACATCTCATCGTAAATTTAGTATCTTTTAAACTGATTGTTTTGTAAGTAAAATTAAATTATGGAAATATTTTTAGATGGAGTAATTTAGATGATTTCTGGGATCTGATGCAATCTGTTTTGGATAAACAGCAGAATACGGACAGAGGATATATTTCTTTGAAAAACCTGATGGATCCTTGGGTAAAGAAAAAGCAATACCCTGTTCTTAAATCACACACAGAGCTTAATAGCAATATGAAGAAACTTAATGTAATAATGGAAAATATGTCTGGAACATTCAAAATACCAGTGACATACATTAGGCTACCAAAACCTAATTTCCATAATATTTTACCAAAGTTTTGGATATACTTTAAAAGTGTAGTAAGACTGACATTTGTGTTCCCATATGTTACATGGTTGCTACTTAATCTGCAACAGACTGGTAAATAATATTCTAATATTTTATTACATTACTGAATAAATTATTCAGTAATGTAGCCATTAATTGAATCCTTTTATGAAACCAAGCTTGCTAAATGTAAAGAAAGAAAAATTTTCGTTATTTTCTATATCAACTTTCTGTAATTCTAAAATTTTTATTAACGTTTAATTAATTAAGTCAAGTATTTTGTAATTACCTAAATTTTCCAAAGTTATTAACTTATATTAAAATAATTTTTTATTTCAAAATTTATATGGAACTAATTTTAAAAAAATGTGTGTGTGTGTGTGTGTGTGTGTGCGCGTGCGTGCGTGCGTGTGTGTGTGTGTGTGTGTGTGTGTGTGTGTGTGTGTGTGTGTGTGTGTGTGTGTGTGTGGGTGTGTGTGTAAATTACATACACGCACTATTAATCAAGATTTTTGAGTACTTTAATTGAAAAATGTATGATTTATAAAGACAAATTTTGCAAAAAATTTTCTATTACCATCTTGTATATAAGTATATATTCAATACTCCATATAAAATTTAATTTTATTTAACATAAAATTTAATGTTACATTATTTCACAAACATTACATAATATTAACATTACATTATATTTTATTTATTTGTAATCCTGGAAAATTTATCATAGAAACAATTTTTGCAAACATTTCTTGAAATAAAAAAATTACATTTAGGAATGATTTATTTTAAATATAATATCAAAACAATATAACGACGGACATTTAACATTTGCTTTTTGTATAATAGGATATTATCGTGTAAATTATCAAAAAAATGACTTGTTAGAAATTGGAGGATATCTTCATACCAAGAATTATACGAATATTCATGTCCTCAATCGTGCTCAAATCATTGATGATACGTTTCATTTTGTAACAACAGGCGAATTTGATTCACCTGCCACATTCTGGTATCTTGTAGCATACTTACATCAAGAATTAGATTATATAGCATGGTATCCCATGTTTAAAGCTATGGAACGTATGTCATTCATTATACCGTTTAATGAAAGTATTCATTTCAAGGTAAAAAGATCTTACGAAAAAGAAGATCTTAAAGTTGATACACTATTGATTATATTAATTCAATTATTAATAAATTAAATTATATTAAAAAATAATGATTGAAATTAAAAAATAATTAAAAGTATTAAAAGTTTTTATTGCTTTTATAAATTAGCTTAAATAGATAATTTTTAGAAAAATCTATTAATAAAAGTTAATACTTACTTTTCTGTGTATTAGACAAAAATACTCGGCCTATTGCGTCCACTCCTCCAAAAAATAGGTTACGAGGAGTTCAACATTGATGAAGACGATCTCACTAAATGTTTAAAGCAGGAAGCTGTAAAATGGGCATGTGTTCTTGGTGATATTGAATGTAAGAAAATGGCTGAGAGAAAATTGGAATGGCATTTATCGAATAAGACGTAAATATTTCTATAATGTCTTTTTATATTATATATTTTATATATTTTATAATTTTTATATTTAATACTTCATATATCTTTGAATAAATTGAAATCGTGTCACACTCTCTTGAATGCTGTTTTCAGAAGTAACTATCTTTTACCATGGTGGAGAAAATGGACATATTGTAATGGTTTGTCGATATCTACAACTTCTTTTTCGAAAGTGTTTCATAATTTGAATGACATTTTTGAAACGAATAATTCGAAAATATTAGAATATTTGGCCTGCACTAATAAAACTTCTGATATTCAACTTGCTGTATTAGGCAAAAATCTTTCTTCAGAAAATAATCCAAGAAAAAATATTATTGTTAGAAACTGCATTAGCGTATTCTTTGATGTTATTCTGAGACATGCTAAAGACAAGTTACTTCACGTCATAATAAGCCATTGGGAAAAATTAAACTAAAGTAATATTATCATTTTTATAAATATTTTTTACAATCACTAAGATTTATATATGCATTGAAAAAACTATTTTACTATATGTGTTTTGTTTTTCTAGAGAAATTAATGAAATTGCAATCTTAATAACTATCATAAATAATGCTTATTCTGAGGCACAACTTACTGAGGTAAATATTATTAAACATAATATTTTTATTAAATTCTCTTACATTTTTATATTAAACTTCTCTTGTAAATAATATGTTCCTTTACCAAAATATTTTAAATTAATTTTATCAAGAAGTACAAATTGTATAAAAAAAAATATAAAAATAAAATAAATTTTATTATTTACATTCTACTTTGTAGAAAACGAAAAGTTATGTATTTTCATGTACGTTTTATGTAAAATAATGTATTCTAGGCAAAAAGATTTGCCGAGGATATGACAACGAGAAAAGGACACCTAACTTTTCACTTTAATTCTGATTATTTTGGTTCAAAAATAGTATTTTTTAACACAGAAGAAACAAAACGGGTATGTACACAATCCAAAAATATTATTTCATTTATATAAAATCAATTCCATATTAAAATTTGTTGTAAACTCATGTAATTCTGTTTATCATATATGTTTATATGGAGTCCTCATTATTTATTTTAAAATAGCAATTACAATGGATTGAACTGAGTACAAAAGGTTTCTATTAATTTATAATTTTTGTAACACCTTAAAGCTTGATTTTCTCGCTGCAGATATATTGACTTATCACAGACGAGAAATAATCTACAATAATTTTTTTTCAACAAATAGCTTTATCTTTTTATTTTTCTTTAATAACATAATAATTTCGTGATCATGAAATTTCTAAAATTTGAAGGAAACTGAAATATTTCAAATCTGTCATCTAAAAGTTTAAAATAATTTTTAAAATAATTTTTAAATAATGGATCATGTTGCAACCATAATCAATTATCATTTGAGAATGGCTGAAAAATGACTCATTTTTTCAAGAATTATTTTACACTTCTACATGACAGATCGGACAGATGTTTCAGTTTGATTTTAGAAATTTCAGGAACACGAAATTATTATATTTTTATGAGAAAGTTAATAAATGAAGCTATATGTCGCAAGAAAGTCATTTCTCGCTTAAGATATCATAAAACCGAGTTGGCCGCTCGAGAGAGCCAAGTTTTAATTAAAAAAACAATTAATAAAAATTCACGATTGAGCGTGCCTTTGCGCGATGAGGTTACTCACATTAACAATTAGCTATACATATAACTATTTGATTGTATGATTTATAAGAAGTTATAGCAAGAGCGAATAATATATAATATTGGATAGTTACTTTTAACAACGCTTTCTTTTCATCTAACATGCATGCTTATTTCTAGGATTTTAATTTATTTTTAATAATTGTAACAGTAAAACGCGCATTAGGATGAAACATACTTTTCTACTTAATTTAATTTCTTCAACTGTCTATGTAATGTCATGCAATTATAATTGGATATAAATCCATGTGACACAATAGAAATGTAATACAGTTACAATATCATCATCTTTAGATATCAATAATTTACTTTGTAGTTTAAAAATTAGATATTTTACTTTGTATATACTTACTTATATATATTACTTACATATTACTTACTTATATATATTACTTACATTAAATTATTAAAATGATATTACAGTTCAATAAAATTATAGAAGAAAATATAAAGCGGCAGATTAATCTCTTACTATTTATGGTGGTTCAACAAAAGATCGATAGACGCCGATCTGAAATTCAAAAACATGTAAATTATTATATAAATAAATATATATAAATTTCTTTCCCTACATCTCCTTCCGTAAAAATTACGAAATATTACATTGTATTGTATTGTATTGTATTGTAAATAATATTACATTTAACTGTATGGAAGGTTGTGAAATATAATGACAACAAATTTATTCTTGTCGATTGACAAATTTTTGATAACATATGTATATAATTATATATGTATATAATTATAATTTAAATATTATAATTATTTTATAGTATCTATCTATTGTAAACATTTTTTATTTAATTAATTTGAATATATCTATTTGAACATAATAATCAGCCTTTTTAATATAAGAAATAATTTTGAGCAAGTAAAGGTATAAGCCGGAAACATATATTTTCTTATAAAACAGAAAGAGGAACTTTGAATTGATATCTCTTAAAAAATAAGTTTATTTAAGTTTACAAGTTTATTTATTTGAGTTTTTATTAACTTTTTATTAACAAATTTTGAGAAATTAGTTATCTATTAAAATTATTATCAAAAATGGCTTCTAACAATCTCAATTTAGTATTATTTCTGAAATTGATCGTCGCACATTATAATAAAATAATTACAAAATGAGAAGCAAAAAAAATTAATAACATGTATAAATACCAACACGTATCAATCATAAATTTAATTCTATAAATTTTGGACAGCATTATATAACTGTATATTTAACAGTATTAAAATTTATAAGAAAATAAGTAATATAATATTTGTTACATAAATTTCTTAGATAATTTTGAATTGAATTTCTATATATTATACAATTTTACTTTTATTATGTATTATATATCTCTTATAAAGATGTTTTGTATTTTTTTAATAAATTTATACCTATTCAGAGTTTTATATTATTAATAAAAAAGATGAAATGTTCCCAAGTACGCACACATTCTATACTTTGAACAAAATGAGATTTTTCGTACTAATGATTTGTTAAACTGATTATACATAGAGGCGCTAGTGGACAGCTTTCAGCTAAAATGCGAGCAGACTTATTCGATCTTCTTTCCGATATCGAATTCTTCCCTAACCTAATTCGATTGCGGAATGCATATAAAAAGTTATTTTACTTTTCTATTTTCACGGATTGTTTGAAAAGACAAAAATATGTAAAATGTGTAATTAGAAGTAATTTTTAATGAAAATAATTATACATCTGTAATATAGTTATAGGAAAATCATGGCAATGTTCGAAGTATTGCGGAAAGATTATAGTGTAGGTACAATAATAATAATTAAGCGTTGCATTGACGAATTCTTATTGCATATTTACATCTTATTTCTTCTTTTAGGATTATTTACAGCAGCATTTCAAGCTGTTGGACGTTTCGTTGTTCCAAAAGAAATGCATCGAACGTTGTGCGAACGACGGTGATAGGAAAGCGGCGATCGATCAGGCACTCCGAGACACTCTACTGGTGGTGTTAGCGGAAAACGTTTCTGGCAATGTGCATTCTCTCGAATCGTATATCACATTCTGTATAGAATTATGCAGGAAGGATCTTGCAACAGCTAGTATGCCAGTAATGCTACTCGGCGATATCTTTGATTCAATGACATTAGATAGATGCGAACAGTTATTCACCTTTGTGGAAAACAATGTCACCGTGTGGAAAGAGGATCTGTTTTTTACTGCCTGTAAAAATAACTTATTGAGAATGTGCAATGACTTGCTGAGAAGGCTATCACGTTCGCAGCAAACTGTATTTTGCGGCAGAATTCTACTTTTCCTGGCAAAATTCTTTCCATTTTCTGAGAGATCTGGTTTGAATATTATTAGCGAGTTTAATTTGGAAAATTATACCGAGTTTGGTTCAGAAAAACTGAGGAAGATGATTTGGAACAGATAACTAAGGACGATGACAAATCAGAGAACAAAATACCAATTGATTATAATTTATATAGAAAGTTTTGGGCGTTACAAGATTTCTTCAGAAATCCGAATCAGTGTTATAGTAAAATGCATTGGAAAGTCTTTTCAGCTGTGATTATTTATTTTCTAAATATATACTTGTTTGTAGATTTGTTAACATAATATATATGTGTGTATGTTTTTTTTATAGCATGCATCTAATGTACTATCAGCATTTGCTTCTTTTAAATTGGAGGAGCAACGTAGTTATCCTTCAACATGCATCAAGATGGATACCTCTATGGAAGGCTCTCATAAAGAAACTCACTATTTTGCAAAATATTTAACTAACCAAAAATTATTGGAATTGCAGTTGTCAGACTCCAATTTTAGACGATATGTATTGCTGCAATTTCTCATTCTTTTCCAGTATCTGAATAGCACTGTAAAATTCAAGGCGTAAGTATTATCTGTATTAATGCAATATGGTGAATTGTATTTTTTAATAATTTTACAAATCTTATTTATACCTTTATCAAATTGATAAATTATTCGACAATTAGTAAAATGCCTTTGAATAGTTATACAAATGTTTGTTTTTCAAAGCTTCCTTGCCAGTGGCTATGAGACAAGGTCTGCTTTCCTTAAATTAAATGTTGTGTTATGTGTACATTGTCAAATCACTATGATATTTGTCACTTTAAAGTGAAACACATGAGCTCAAGCCGGATCAAGTCGAATGGGTGAAGACCACTACTGAACAAGTTTATAATCTATTAATTGAGACACCACCAGATGGTCCCACATTTGCGGAGACCGTGAAAAATATTTTGAAACGTGAGGAACATTGGAACGCATGGAAGAATGAAGGTTGTCCGCCATTTAAAAAACCGACATCGGATGTCAGTGATGAGGAACCGCGAAAACCAAAGAGACCAAGACGACGTATTGGTGATGTAATTAGAGATGCGCAAGCAGTTGGCAAATATCACGTGGGAAAGTAAATATCCTTTAAAATATAAAAATGGAGTTAACATTTTGTTCAAGATTGAATAACTAAACTTTATATTATTTTTTAATAGTCCAGAACTTACGAAATTATGGAATCTATGTCCAAATAATCTCGAGGCATGCAAATCTAAGGATAGAGATTTTCTTCCATCCTTAGAAACTTATTTCGAAGATGCCATAATGGAATTAGATCCTGCGGCGATGGTTGATGATAAATACAAGTAAATGTTATTATTTATGTTACATCTGATTTTGTTATGATTATTAATATATTAGTTTATTGTTTCTGAAACAAATAAAATTTCAATTCATGTTCCTATTCATGAATATTAATTTTTCAATCAATCTCTAAGTTGAGAAAATACAAGGGATGAGACATATGAATTTGAAAGAGATATGAATATCTGAACATGGAGTTACTCATCAGTCCTTATTTCATGATTAATAATGATAAAATAATTTTGTATTATAGGAAAGTAAATGATGGTAATTTTGGTTGGAGAGCGTTGAGACTATTAGCGAGGCGAAGTCCACATTTCTTTGTACATGGCAATTATCCTATAAATAAATTGCCTGAATATCTTGAGACAATGATCAAGAAAATTGCCAAGGATCGTCCAGTAAGCATAGATGCATTAGAATGTTTATTAGATACTCTTTCTGTGGTTATATTATATTTAATCTTGATTATTTTTTTTTTTATGTTCTATAGCAGACACAATCTGATGTGAAATTGGAAACTGAGGAAACGCCACCATCAGAATCTACCGATCAGGAATTCAATGAAGATGTTTTAAAGCAGGAAAGTGAACAAGTAGATGCTGAGAGTGCCGATATGAAAACGAGGAAGTTGAACAAAGTCACATCGGAAATGGTAGCGAAATTATCGGAAAGTCTGAAAAATGATTGGAAAAAGTTAGCTACGAAATTTGGTTATACAAATGATGAGGTATATAAATATTAATTTTCTTATTGTAATATTACAATATTACAGTATTACAATTATGGAATTTTAATACGCATTTTAGATTGCTTTCTTCCAAAGCAAAACAACACCGTACGAGCAATGTAAAACTATGCTCGAGATATGGGCAGAAGAAGACGAAGATGCATCAGTTGAAAATTTGGCTTATATTTTAGAAGGTTTAAAATACACAGAGGCATTAATGATATTGAAATCTTAGGATCTCTTTTAATTTATTAAATAATGATAATTGTATTATTATATTGATTACGTATTTGTGAAAATTGTACAATATATTATCATTTGTAATAAAATTTTTAATAAAATTTTAATTTTTTCGTCATATATATGCATTTTAAATTTATAAAAGACTAAATTTTCGCTTTCATTAAATTTAATGTTTTATTAAATTTTAATTATTTGAATTATGTCAGTTTAATACAAAAAATAATGAAAATATTAATTTCGGTTAAATTAATTCGGTGCTTTTTAGTTGTATATCGCGTCATGCTTTTTTTTGGAGCGAATATACAATGTTTTGTCAAGACTTTACACGGTTGCAACCTACTGTAAAAAATGTATCAGTCAACAAAATATAAAAATTTTTATTGATGTATTTATTGATGTATTGATATAATATTTTTACGACGATCGTAAATTTGTATATGTATGAGATTTTCAAATAAATTCCGTGCGATCGTAGTAGTACTTGCAAAATTGTATTTTTTACATACATGATAAGTTTGAAACAAATAATAATTAGCATGAATAAGTAATATAAAGCCATTTGTGTGATGTAAAACAAAATTAATCGTTTTCATCATATTTGCGAAAATGGACTGTGAGCCTATATGAGTTGTGTTTGCGATATCTTGAAAATCCTTGGAGATGAAATGAGACACTGCAATCTCATTAATTTTTTGTAGTCTGTTACGACTCAAGGTGAGAAATTTATTTTCTTTTTAAGAGATGCTTGTATTTACATATATCATTAATACAAGATAATTAAAAATTAGTAATTTTGAAATATTTATTTAAAATTTATTATTTCTGTTCTGATTCAAAGATCTATAATATTACGCTACATAAAATTTTTTGATAAAAACGTACAAACCTGTAAATTGTTATGTGCATCGCTTTTATATAAAACGAAGGAAGAAGATATAACTCGAGAAGACTCCTTTTCGTCTTTTATTTAGAAAGACAATAATAAATTGTACAAATAATATAAAATTTGGAAACGAAACATTTTCGATGCAAATTATATCGAAGGACAATTGATTGTACGTTCTTCTTGGATATGTCACGAATTGCTACTGACATTTAAAAAAGTTTACGTATATACGTAAGAAATATTCGCCAACAAGCTTGCTGACAACCTAAATATACATATAATAGTTTCACGATCAATCTCTATGTAACTGTAATAAATTATGTTAATAATAACAGTATACCTTCGAGTTATAGACATTGACTTAGATCCGATTTATGCTCGGTGTAATCCAAGGACCAGAAACATAAATCTTACGGAGTTAAAAAGATAAATAAATATAAGAGAGAGAGATATACAATAAATTATTATACTTATTTCATGACAATAAAACTTTGGTAAAGTTGTTAATTTACACGCTTTTAAGCCAACTTGATGAGTTTACATGTAACATAAATTATATTACATTAAATGGGTATTAAAGAGTTGTATATTAAGGATACTTTTTTAATTTTATAATAGATATAGATTAAATTTATACAAGAAGTTGTTGATTTCAGGAAAAAAATATTTAGATAAATACAGGAAGAATAACATAGTCTCATACTTTTTATTTTTTCTTTTAATAACTATGTATAATGTTTTTTAATTTAATAACTGTTTTTAAGTTTTCCCAATTTTAGAGAATTTTTACGAAAATCTCAATGACAATTCTTCAATAATTTAAAAGTCGAGCGTAAGTTAGTCTAAAAGTGAAATCGATGTATGATTTAAGATACAAGTGATCTCTTTCTCGATGACCCACAAGATACACGGAGCATAAATCTTCGACAGCAAGTTGAGCGACTCGTGTCTGAAACTCCTTAATCGATGTGCCTCTTACGTCTAACATACACACTCAATATGTATCAGCTAAAATGTAAATGCAACTTGATCGCGGATACGAACTTCATTTAGGTTTATTTAGGGCAGTGTTAGGTAATTACTTCCCTAAACGGTACAGTCCGCATTCGCAGCGTACTTATACTATTTCGACATTTGTACGAAACATAACTACCTAGTTTTCAATCACTTGAAGGTTTGCATAAGTAATTACGCCAACTATTTTGTTATTAGGCTATCAAAAATGAAGGGAATTTATGCGAGCGATTCAGAGAACCTGAATTTTGGATTGTATTAAAAAACAAAAATTAATTCTTTTTTATTAGAAAGATATAAAGTTATATAAAGATAACATTTTTAATTTACTATTTTACAATATATCAAATAAATTTATAAAAATGCAATTTGAAATTTGATAACTGCATGTCTATCTATTATAATTTAAAAAAAATATCGCATAATTGAAACAATTATATTTTATATATTATTTATTTGGAAAACTGTATGAATTTTCCAAATACATCATATAAAAGAAATTAGAGGTAAAAATGATTAAATCTTAAGTTTTTTTCTTTCTCGAAAATTTATTATTTTTGTTTAAATTACCATCATTCAGATCATTTATTTTTGAAATAATGAGCGAGCGATACGGATTTACTTACAAAAATTATTCGGTTGCATTTTCTATCTTTTGAATAATTCAGAATCGCTGAGACGCCACTACGTATTATATTTAATAAGAAAAAAAATAGATAATCGGTTTCAGCATTTAAAGTACGCTATAAACGCGGGCCTGAACAATGCGTTGTTCGATTTTACGTCGCTCGTTTCACAATCCATAAGTATTTTTGGACGTTTATCGTGATGAGGGGAAGTGCTTAACGGATGCTGAATCGCGATAGCTTCCTCGGAAGATCTCGAGCGAACGGAGCTTTCGAAAGCGACTGATAGAAGGGGGAGTACTCGGTGCGAATACGCGATACGACGAAACACTGACGAATATCTAGACGATCAGTCTTCTTTTTATTTTAAGAAAGATCGAGAGAAAAGAGAACTGAGGCGCGGTTGAAGCGAATTGCTAGTGACTCGCGATGAAAATACAAGTAATTATACCTTTCGGAATCGTTTCGTGATCAGTTTCATAATCTTGAGAACGCGAGAAATGAGATGCGATGCTGCTCGTGATGACTTGCACACGCTATGACTTCACGATATGTATATCGATATGAATTATTATTCGAATGTGGTAATTTTCTTTGTATAATAATATATATATATATATATATATTATTATACATATATATA